TTTAGGACCAAAATTAAATGTGTAGACACAAAATTGCACCATCTTTCAAGTTGCAGCATTTCTCATCTTTTAAAGTTGAATATGAAAATTCATTCATATACATAAAAGATACAGGGGGTCGAGTAAACTGAACCTCAATCCCTTATGGAAGTCAATAATGCAAAAGTGCATCAACCCAAACATATTATAAAGAAGCAAAAACAAAACAGAATAAAGTAACTTTAGTCGAGACAAAGAAAGATGGAAAAAAAAAAAAAAGGAAGACTAACAAAAACCACTAGGAATTATTGAATTGGGAAGACTGCTTTAATAATTATATATTACAATAATATAATAGGAGACAACTCTAGTAAAGGCGTTATTTTTTTTTATAACAATTGATGAAACTTTTATTGGTTTATAGAGTATAAAGGATACTCTTATCTATTTAATAAAGGAATAATGGGATAAATTTAATTAATAAATGTAATTTATTGTTTATATATTTTTATAAGATTAGTATTTATTAATTAAAATTTTAAAATCACGTAAATATTATTTTGTTTTAACAAATAGAATGGTAAAAGAATAAAATAATCTCATTCTTGTTTTAAAATAAATTATTTTAGACCAATAAGGTTAAGTTGATAACAGGGACGAAACTTGACCAAAATTTAAGAGGGGGCCAATTTTTCTTTTTTTATCACATGTTAATATAATAATAATTATAGCATATGTAATATAAGAGATGACTTTAACTCCAATAGGGTAACTGAACGATTAAGAATTTGAGATTTCAAATTAAAGATCTCATGTTTATGCCTTGAGTTAGGTGAGGGGGGATTTGGGAATAGGGGAGAGTTATCCCTCTTGTATTGCCCATAATCAAATGTACAAAAAAAATATATAAGAGATGACTTTGCTTAGCAAAAAAAAATTTATAAGACAGGGCTCAACATGAAATATGATATTATAAAATTAAGTTATTTCATTTGCTCAAATTGCAAGAGTTAATAGAGGAAATTTTAACAAATAAGAAAATAATTTAAGTTTATAGTGTTACAAAATAAAATTGTTATAAAATTTTATATTATAATTTAACAATAATGAAATAAAATTATTTATTAACATAAAAGATGAGATTAGAAATTCATTAATAATATTATATGCATTCACTTATTTAATATTACATTGTTACAAAATAAAATTGTTACAAAATTTTATATTATAATTTAATAATAATGAAATAAAATTATTTATTAACATAAAAGATGAGATTAGAAATTCATTAATAATATTATAT